ACAAACTGAACTAATTCCTGTAAATATAAAAGGATTTCCTTCAATATACATAGGTGAGAGAAAGTCAAAACGAGTTATTAAATACCTAGTTAGCACACAGCAAGATTCTAGATACATGAGAAACACAGGCAAAATCTAAGACATGGTCATTTGAAGAGCTGATTATCTGGATTTAAGCCACAAGAATCTCTCACAAAATGCCTCAGTATCTGTTAAATGTTACAGCATCTAGGAACAGAGAAGTGTCACAGGCAAGGACACACCCATTTGGAGGAATGAACTCTTCTGGGTCTGGAGATGGAATAGAGTCAGTCTGTTCTATGGGCTGGGAACTCTGATCCAATGTGTACCTTCTTATCTATACCAAATTTTTTTCTACAGTCATGATGATAAGGCTGCAGGACACAACTACAAATCTGAATCAACATCTCCTTGTTTAATTATGTTAATCTAGCTACTAATAAGCATTATAAATGTTATCATAATCATTATTATGATGCCAGTATTTTATAAAACTTTAATGCTACCAAGTGTCTGACTTTTTCTTCCATTTTTCCAGTTTGTATGGAAGTCTCTCTCTTCCCTAAACATCCACTGTGTTCAGGGTGCGACTCTCCGGATCCAGAAGGCACTGTGACTCCGTGCAGGGTATCACAATGTCCACAGTCCTCTGCCTGGCCTTCACAGTTCATAAATTGACTCTACTGTCCAACTTGGCTTTTCTGTTTTACTTCACACAATGGAGCCGCTGGCCTAAGATCTGCAAGTCACCCTGTCTCACAGATAACCGCAACCTCAATGTCTGCTGCATACAGAAGAGATTCCATAGTGATGACGATGTCTACAAAGTCTTCTCTAACTTCATTACCATAATAACCTGCCTTGTATCCCCTGGGATATATTCACTCTAATTGACTTCCTATTTTAGTCACTTCATTTTCCTAAACAGACTATGTTCTTAGGAACAAGATATCATGACTTATATTTTCTCTGTGTTTAAAAAAATGGCTGACATAGATGTAGTTGCTTTACAAACAAATGTTAATATTCATTTATTTGGTTGAATTTATTATATTTGTTGTGATGTTACCTGTTTTATATATATATGTGTATATATTTCCCATCATCTACAGAGTAAATGTAGTATTACTTTTTGTTATGAGGGGGAAAATAATCTTTCTTCCCCAGAGTTAAAAGTACTTTACCAGAAATGAATTTATTTAATTTCACTGTCTCCCTATGAGAAAATTCAGAGAACATATTAACTCTATGTTATAAATAGAGATATTTTCCAGAGAGTTGAAGTGAAAAGATTCTAGACTGTTCACCGAAATTAGTGGTTAAATGTCTAAATTCTTCATGGGGAAGTCACATCTGTCCCTGGGATAGCCTGATGGGTTTATAAAGACAGGCTGGTATAAAATCACTTTTAGATCAAGAACATTACATTAATATCTTCCAAAATTGTTATTTACTACAACTGTTCAAAAGAATAGATATCAAGAAGTAAGGGATCAAGAAAATTGGAAAATCTAGACAATTTCATATGCAAATTGCTTAGTTTCTTTGAACTACCTGATAACATGAGGCATTGTGGGACAAGTGATGGGATGAGTCTCATCTTTATGTAATCTGGAAGAACAACTATTTTTCCCCAGGATAAATTTGAAATTACTATAGAGAAAAAAGAAAATTCAAAAGATGAGAACCACCACTGAAATTCCCACACAGTCCCCAGGGGGAAGTTCAAGTAAGCAGCCAACCTCTCTGCAGAGAAGTGTTTGACTGTTGTATGGATAATCCATTTGGAATACTTTGTTGTTCTAAACAGAGAAACAAAAGAGATTTGCTGTAAAGATTTCTACTTCAACTCCCAAGAAGACAACAGTAGATTAGGTGACCAGAGAGACTACTTGGAAATGTCCATGCTTGTGGTGTTTCTGAGTCATGTCTTTAGTCAGGACAGAGCTCATTTTGAATGATGTGGCTCATGCTTCAGCAATGTTTTGCTCTAGACAGATGGACCATATGGAAACTATGAACTGGCTTCATAGACAGGACCATGATGAGCCAATACAACATTTTTATGTTTTCTGTTTCTATTCAAGTGGTCTAGTGAACAATATATTATCATAAGACATGGTATATTATGTGCCTTTGTTTCAATTCTGAGTAGTGATTATTTTTAATGCTACAGATATTTTCAATACGGGGACTTTTTTTGACCACATGCTCACTTAACAAAAAAGACTTGAAATCTTTTGGAGGTTAAACATACTCCAATCCTTCCTTCAAAGTTCTGGCTTACTTTAATTCATCAATAAAGAAAAGGTCCCAAAAGGGGAAAAAAAGCTATCAAAATCATGGTCGTCAAAGACTTTCTTTCCAGCAAGATTCAATATATACGCTTTATCACTTTTCTGAAAGATTCTATTTATAAAAAAAAATCAACAAAATAAAATTATGATGGCAATTTACTGAGAACTAGAAGACAAGTTTATCCCACCAGATAATTAGTTTGGGGGATACAGAGTGTTCTGTTATGGTTTGCTGTTTTAATAACTATTAGAGGAATCACAAACATTTTACTTCAAGACTAAAATAATATATAGCATTTTTTTTCTGGATTGCCTTACAATTTAATGAAAAATTGTGTTGGTGAAAAAAAATTACAGTTGTTGGCACAATACCAAAATGGAACAAATGAACGGCACTTATGTGGTTGCATGTTTTTGTATAGGATGTGGGAGGGCTACAGAATAGCTGAAATTAATATGTGGAAAATAGCTGCACTGGTTCCTTAGAGGAATTCAGAAACTATCATATGTACTCACTCAGCTTGTAAATCTCTGCAAAGGCTATGATGAAAAATGATCATGTTTCATTATTATAATTAAAATATAGTGGTCTCAGATGTTTTTCTAGAGAATTAAAAAATATGAGACATAGATAATATGGGTACAATTGTTATAAAGATGATTTAAGGAACTATAATTTAAATGTTTGTCAAGGAGATTTATTAAAACATGATTACATTGTATGCCTAAGATTGGGACAGAATAACAAGATTTCCCCTATGAAATAAATGAACTTCATATTTTACAGATTCTAATTCTTAGCTTCTGGTGTTTTATATTTTGATCAGAGAAAATCTTAGATAAGAACCTAATAATTTCTTCATCTGAATTCACTTTGATAACTAAGGAGGTGTTGTGCTTGTGTTGTATTCATAGCAAGTTGGTAGGACCAGACTGAAACTGGCCAATCCTAATTTTTTTTTAAAATAGGAATTAAATTTGAATAACCCGATAATCAAAAAGTGAATGTCTATGAATTTTAAAACCATAAACATTGAGAGCCATGAAATAATTCAGACCTGAGTAAAAAAACTTTCTACATATTCTTTCATTTTATAAAAGTTTGGAAAGAATGTTACTTAGTCAGGATATACTTATACCTATTACCTCACTGTATGAAGGAGATTATTTTATAAGTAAGATTAGTATTCTTTTTTAATCCTCAGTCTTTGGTTCCCTCAAATAGATTTTATTGACTTTTACAAACTGTCCTGAATGATAAAATTCAGCTATAAAACCACCAATATGTGTCTTCTCCTGGCACTATTTCTACACTTTTAAAAGAAAAGCTCTTGAGCACAAGAAAGCAGGTACTAGGAGGTACTTATTCACATGTGCCCATGAGACACGACAGAGGTTCGATGTCTAGCACAGCACAAGGAGAAACAAGACATCTACCAAATGGTGTTAAGATTTAAAATCATGTGTCCTTTAGATACACTTTATTACTTAAAACAGTTAAGCTTTGCTTAGAACTGGCATAGATTATTTGTATATTATTTACAAAATGCTTAAAAGGAACATGGTCTTATTAACTATTTCTTATGCCTTGGTTTTCATTTTGCTAACTGCTCTTTTTTAGTTTAACTGCATGACAAAGTTGCTCTACTTTCCAAGCATTTAAGTCACAAGCTAATATTTTGCAGTGGGAGAACAATTTTTATGGTGGCATTTTTTTTTTCTCATTTAGGACAACACTACGACTTTAGAATGAGACAAAGCTACCAATCAACTGAAAAATAAATGTGTGTTTTTCATCATTTCAATGAGACATTTAAAATTTTTTAGATCAAATTATATGAATCCAGATACCATATACAGATGAAATATCAAAGTGTAGACTTAAAATGCATGGCACAATAAACATGTCCTATTTAATGAAACCAACTAATTTTAACCACAAAGCTTAAATATTTAATGCACCGATAATATCATTGTTTTATTTTGCCTATTGAGGTAGAATAAAAGTGATACTTCTAAATGGTGCATCAACTCCTCCAGGTCATTGGAAAGAGAGTGCCAGTCTGAAATTATCTATAAATAGCTACCTTGCATGAAAGCACACTCTGCCTTCTATACCCAATGATGCTGCACACACTAAACGCACTTCTGAACACAAGCAATTACTTTTTTTCATTTGCGAGATCAACCTGAATTCCATTTTTAAAACTAGTTACGAAACAGTAAGCTAATGCCAAGTGTAACAGCTGTGTCATAGTCTTCTGCCCTTCTGCTTCATTTAGTTGTCCTATTCACTTTGCAGGTGACCACTGAGGTAAAAAGGAACATTATCTTATTTTACAGCTTCATTCATACACAGGATGGAGAAGGAGGTATCAACAGTTAGAGCCTCTGTGATATTTGTACATCTCTTCTAGGCAACAATGAGGAAAACCACAAGGGAAATAACTTTACCAACATGAAGGCAAAAAAATAATTGAAAAAAGCAAAAAACCACAATTTTGGATTTAACAGAAGACATGACAAATGGTGTGAACTTTTCAAAACACTCTACAGATAAAGCAGCATCATTCAACAGGATGCAATGGAATTGGAAAAAGCAGCAGCAACACATCACAGAACAGGCAGTCATCTGAACAAGCAGCTAGAGACACAAGCCCCACAGAGGATTTCTTTTCTTACTTGCACAAGTATCTTGAGGGGTTTGAAAGGTCTTTCACCATGAAGCACTCGCCTCCATTTACACAGAAAGTTTTCTCCTTCTCTGCACACTTTACAAGATGGCTTGTCCCAGTTGTAGATGTAGATGTAGCTGCATAGGAGATAAAGGGGAAAGGTTTATGTCTATCTTTTGCTCTTCCAAGCAGGCTGTAATCGTAAATTCTCTTAAAAAGAAGAGTTCATATAAGGTACATTGGACTTTATTAGACATTTAGGCTGAATAAATAAACAATAGCAAAGAAGTTAAGTACTTTTGGGGTATAATTAAATTATAAAAGGGTCATTCCTGATAATTAATTAAATAGGAAGAGGGGCTTAACATTTTTAATAACTAATATTTTATCTTCTTAGGGAGTTGGAGACATAAGTTTTTCCAGAAAAGATTAATAATATAAAGCTATGCCAATGAAATTCAATTTAGTTATCAATTTTTAATGGCCACTAATTATTTTGGAAGCCACATTTAATATGTACATGGACAAAATACTTTAGATATCATGTGTAGTGAAAGCCAAAATACAAGGTGGCTTATTTGTTCTTAATGAAAGGATTAATAATTGAATATATAGCAACATACAGATCAGGAGCCATTCTATTCAAAATGGCTATTCTACTTCAATTTCTACTCAGAAGAACATTATGCAACGTCAGAATGTCATACTTTTGAGGATTTCTAATATTGCTGCAAGTGCAGAATAAAGCACTACAGAATTTCCCCATTTTGAATTAAGAGTAGAAACAAATCCTAATTTTGATTTGCAACATCTTCATGGGATGAGCTTGAGAATCTCTTGTTAAACTTCACAGTTATATGAAACTGTGCGGTCAGCATTAGGTGTGTGGGTTGAATGCAGCCAAAACGCCCAGCCCTGAGACTCTTAAGGATTTTGGTATCAGAACTTCTACAGGCAGTGCCTATTCTCAAGCCAAACCAGACTAATTCACAGCATGTTTATAACTGATGTCATCAGAATGAAAAGCAAAACCAATGTTAAGCTAGTGAAGATTCTATTTGCTGCCTCAGAAAAAAAAATCCATCTTTAGACAATTTTTTTCTTTGCTACTGACCCTTTCCTACTGATTTTTAATCCTTTGTCTTATTTTTGAATTTTCTATTTTATTATTTGCATGTGAAATTCAGATGCCTTTGTTTACAATTGTTTGAACTGTCATATTAATTTTCCATTTTCCTTTGCCTTTTTTTCATTTCTGTCATAAGCCCACGTTTTGTTTTGATTTTACACCAATTTCTGCTTGATTTTTACTCTACCAGATCAGATTACTCAACATCTGATTATTCAGTTTCTGAATTACCCAAGGCCTCTCTTGCCTCTTTTTCTCCTGTCTAAGGCAGGTTTTTGGACAATTTCACTTCTCTCAGCATGGCTTTTATGAGAACAGTAAAGGACAGTGAAAATGACTTGTACTCTGTAAACAGATCTGGTTCAAATCCCATCTTGTGCTAGCTTTGTGTCCTCAAGCAAGTCACTTAATAACTCAGATCCTCAATTTTCCCATTTAGAAAGCAAGGGGTAATGGCACTCTTCCAGGACTTTTGTAGAGAGTATAAATAAGCTAGATACAGCGATTGACACAAAATTGGGATTCAATGAAAAATAGCAGGTATTATTCCTGGGCAAGCAGAAAAGGTATTTATCAATCAGATAAAATTCTGACAATGGAAATCTAATGATTTAAAAGACACATGCTATTATTGAATCATTACAATGGATATTTAAGAAACGGGTCGATTTTTTTATTACTCTAACAAAAAGTCATTTTCAAAATGCATTTCAAAGTCTCTATGGTCTACAAGTTAAGCAAAAGGAATCAGGGTGAGTGAGAACAGAAGCGATTGCACCTTACTTTATCAGTTATACTTTCACATCTTAATCAGGAAGACAGGGACATAATCTAGACCATTAGTTTTATAAAATCACAGGGTAGACAACATTTCTATAAATCATATCTATAATTTTAACATAATATTTTCATGTGAAAAACTGTTTACTTGGGTGGTGTGTATTAATATTTTTACACATGACTATTGTTTTAAAAAACTATCAAGAAGACTGTCCTAAATGTTAAAGGTTTTGTGCTTAAGACTTTCAACTGCTGACAGCATTCTATGGGATGACAAATTAGGCAGGGAATCCTTGCTGTCCCAGGCGACAGTGCTGAACGGACCACCTGCGGCGAGCTGTCACCAGCCATTCCTGCAGAGGACCTCTGAGCCTCAAGCAGCCCCCAGTGCTCTCTGAATCCCTGACAGGTTGCTAAGGATTACCCTTCACCCAAGCTGAGCAGCAAATACTGCACCAAATCCTGAGGCTTTTACTAAAAACAACAACCCCGCTCCCCACCAAAGCAAACATTCTACATAATATGGAAATTAAAAATACAGATCAGCAATGATACAGGAAAGAGGCAGACACATCACACCTATTCCTCAACAAAAAGACTTTATGATCTTGTGATATCAAAATAGGTAACATTAATAAATGTATGTCAAAACTAGAAACAATCCCCCTTTCTAAGCCCTTTTAAAATATTGCTCACTGAAATGAATATCCTTTTAATGCTACCCTGCAGCACGGAGTTGATACATTCACTTGAAAATTCTTAGATCATTTCTTGAAACTAGTAAGGGGACACTTGATAATAAAATAATTCTGGGTGGAAATGAAGTAGCAACCACCTAATACAGTCTTGACTATTGTGCTTAGCACATTTACCCTTTAGCAGCAGTAAGAATAAAAATGACTGTGGAATTTTAAAGCACCAATTAACTGCCAGGTGATGCGAAGTGTGAACTGACTGGGTACAGCTGTTCTGAACCAACAGCCAAACACAAGAATAAGTTGTAATTGTCAGAAGAACTTGGGATGGAGATGGTGATATATGCATCCTTCAGATTTCCCCAAGTTTCCTTTTATTCTCCCTAGCTGAATGCAGTGCAGAGTCTTAACCAGACCTATAAATTTTGCAGTGATAGCCTTTCTCTTTGGCTTACACATGCTGTACTGCTCAGTCAGTTTCCATTTGGTAATTCTGCCAAAAAATAATACAAAAACAAAAACAAAAACAGACAAAGCAGGGTCTTAAACCAAACTCTTGGGTAGCTGGGAGGAGTTTATTAGATAGAGCTAAAGCTAAAGGTTTTGTAGATAGTGTTTCAATTTATAAAAGATGACCTTCCGTGTTGTTCCTGGAAGTAGGTGGACAGATTTCACTCACTTAATACTGGTAAATATGGCTCTACCACTCTTAGGTTTGTTTTTAAACACTGTCCCAACTGCACTTGGCGTGTCAGTAACTATAATATTATAAAGAGAGAAAGAAGGAAGGAAATAAAAACAAAGCAGGGACTTGTTATCAGGGAATATACTTTGGAGTATTTCACTAGTCTTGGCTTAGTCTACTTGGTCACTAGTGTTGACCTAGTCTACTTGGCAACACAGGTCAGAACTAGTGATGATACCCAGCAGGCTGGAAAGTTATCTGAATTTACACAAGGATTTGGAGATCACAAGTATAAATAGGATATTTGATAACGAGAAAGTTCTTGGGGAAAATGAAGTAGCAACCACCAATACAGTCAGATATAGTCATGTTATTAAGATATAATTATAAAAACTAAAGTTATGGGGGTTAAAAAAGGAAAGAATGGACAATTCTTCCCAAAAGGAGACCCTTATAGATACAATAGAATAAAATGAACAGTGGAATTAATAAAGAATTGGGGTCAAGGCTGAATTCTGACAATAAATTAGCTATGTGACTTGTCCTGCTACCTTCCTAAATACATTCAAATGCAAAGACGAGCTATATCACAGTGTTGTTGTAAAATTTGATAAAATGCTTTGTCAATTGCAACTCTGCATGCCAACGTATGATATTGCTACTCTAATTTATGGCATAAATACAAAGAACAAAAAAGGGAAAACATTTTTGTCTGGACTGTGGAAATGTGTATTAATTAAGATTTCAATTTTGTTTCTCAGCAAATTATTCTATAATATGTGAATAGATATGATCTAATTTGGAGAGCTAACCATTGAATGATTGTGAAGCATTAAGAAGTTATCAACTATCTACTTGATCTTAACTTTACCATAAGTGCTTGCCAATAATCTGTAACCACTAAATCTGCTGATGAAATAAAGTTGAAGAACAATTCAACTTAAATAGCTTGAATGTGTTATTATTTTCAGCTTTCAAAGATTCCCTAATTCTCTAATATTTCTAACTGAACTTACAATTTACATAAATTAAATGTTCTTGCAACATTTTTGAAATTACAATTGTACACCTTTATAATGTGCAGAATAAAAATTTGAGGAGTAATTAAGTGTTCTCTACTTGTTATTATATATTTCTTTCCATGGAATCACACAATATTTCCTGTAGAATGCCAGGCTTTTTCTGGTGAAGACAGGCTGAAAAGAAAACAATGCTGGAAAGGATGGCTTACTTTCTTGCTTGTTTTAAGTGGTGTTTTTCTTATCAACTAAGTAGACAGCACCAATAGACCAGGGCCATTACACAAATTCAAATTGCTGATAAGAAGCCACTCTATTCTTCTTTGACAATTAGCAGGAATTAGCGTGAATGTTTACCCCAAAAAGAATTTAATGATCCTGACTTCCCTGAGTGAATGAGTCCTTACTAGCAGTTTTTAGGACTTAATGATACTGGCAGGAAGTTAAATAACTGTAGTTCTCTCAATGAAATATACAAATTTTTATATTCCAGTATGAAACTATCAACTGCTACAAAATTACAGATTCTAAAACCTTACCTGTGATATCTTCAATGCCTATGTACTTAGAAATCTGCATGCTTTCTTGTTCTTTGATTTCCCAGTTAAAAAACAAATTGAAATTATTATTCTTGCTCAGAATATAGCTTCTCTGCAGTTATGTGCTAGAAGCACTTTGAACTCCTACTGGGGAAAAAAAAAAGCTTATGTGGCTCCAGAAAATGATGCTCAGGAGCAGAGCTGAGTAGGAAAAGCTGTGCTGCCTAATGTGGCCCCCATAAAAGCCAAGGGAATGAGAGGCAGAGTCATTCTGTTGTAGAGCAACCCCG